ACTGTTGGGGACCCGATACCTTTTTGGTTTTATATGCCACTTCTCTTAGTGAATCAATTACAAAATCTCTTCAAACAATTCTTGTTGAAATTCACTAATCCCCTCTCCAAAGCTTTTCTCTCTTTCTCTTAAAATGCCTAACTCTGATTCTTCTTTAAATATCCCTATCTCCCAAGAAGTTGAAAATCCTAGTTCATTCAACTTCTCCTTTCCTACTCCAGAAGAATCTCCCTCGACTCCAGTCTGTGGAGTTAGTGAAATGGATGAATCCATCACTCCTCCGATTGAAGTCATAGCCTCCCTTATTCTTCCTTCTGAACCGTCTTGGCATGTCCCCCTACCCTAGTTTTATCTGGTGAAAAATCACAGAACTCAAAGGCGCAATCTATGGCAAAACCTAGTGCTGAACCCCTCTATGAGGAAATGGAAGTTAGTTCTATGGCTGTTTTATCCACTATGTCTGAGAGACTTTTTGAATGGGATTTGCCTAAGGGAAAGGGTTCGAAATCGTGTATTCTAGTCACAGGGCCGGAACTGGTGGCCGTTCAAAGCCTGCCCTCACTAAGAGGAGACTCTTAACCTACTATACTGGAGCATGAGTTGAGATCATCGGATTAGGTCCCTCACAGAAGTCAATCTGTGTTTGACCAAACACCCAGATCCTTTGACGTTGAGAGTGATAAGGAAGAAGAAGAAGAGGCTTCGTTAAAATAGAGCAAAAGAGGGGTGTGAGGAGCAACCTCTTCTCAAATAAATGTTCTTCATTTGGAAACAGTTAAAGGTACTTCTGAGGATGACACTACTGCTAAACTTGCTGAGCGTACAAAAGAGAGAAAAAGAAAAGGAAAGGGAAAGTTGGCTGAGATTCACTCAAAAGGGGAAAAGAAGAAGTATGGCACAAAAAGTGCTACTCAAAAGGTTATGGGAAGTGCTATAGCAACAAATGCCATTCAAACAGAGAGAATAAGGAAAAGGAGATAGGAAGGGTAACTTGAAGAACCCACATCAACTCATGTGCCTGTTGAAAATAGTGAGACTGAATCTGATGATATCACTAGGCATGTGGCGAAACGAAAAAGGGAAGCTGATGATGAAAGGGTTAAATCAAAAGGAAATCAGAAAAGAGCAAATAAATCTCCTGTAAAAAGGGAGAAAGTGAGAAAGCGGGTGGATGTACAACCCGTAAAGGGACCAGGTCCCAGGGTTCAAAATCAAAATGAAAAAAAGGAAATGACAAGGGAGGAGAGGATAGCAAAAATGGAGCACCAAAAGGTTCTGAATAGGAGAGTCTTCGACCCTGACATTCTAACCAAATTTGGTATGTCAAACCTGTTTGATGTTGTCTCCATTCAAGGTTGGAACAATCTTTTTGAACCTCCAGTTCCGTACTTGCACGAACCTGAAGTGCATGAATTCTTCTACAAAATGGAACTTCGGGAAGGTGGTGGAATCACAACTACTGTCAGGGACGTTGAAATATGTCTGGATGAAGAAATACTGGGGATCATTCTAGGGGTGGTGGTAGGAATTCGAACAATTAAAGGATGTAAACCATCCAGTGACTTCACAAAGCTTGCCACAAAACGAGGAGATGTTAAACGTGCAGGGCTACCTAAAAAGTTTCTCAAAGGGGAATATAGGCTGCTTTTCGAGTTCATCAACATAGTGTTGGTGCCTAGGACTGAAAAGAGAACAGTAGCATCTGCTGCTGATTTTTTTCTCATGGAGAAGCTTAATGAGCTTGAAGAAATTAACCTCTCTGTCATTATGCTGGAACACATGCATAGAGTAATGACCTGGAGGATGGCCAAGCATGTCATTCCGTATATATGGGTATCTGCTAAATCTTGTATTCAACCATTTTGAAGTGCCTTTGGGAAAAGGGGTACCTGGTACCGCCAAGCAGATGTTCACTATTGCTACTCTGCTGGAATATGAGTGCATTGTGGAACAAGCTAGGGGTAGATCTCAAGTGGCAGATGTTCTAGAGCAGCAGGTTGCTCTTAAACGAGAAGTGACTGATCTCACTGAGATTCTAAATGACAAGGAGGTTGAAATCGCTAGACTCAAGTTTGAATTACAAAAGGCAGTTTCAAGGGACCTGGTACCAGTGACGGTAATGAGCAGGTGCTGCAAGAGTTGAGGGATGAAAATGCAATGCTGCTGAAGACAAATGCCTCACTCATTGAGGAAATTAAGGCTCTCAACAAGAAACTTATCAAGGCTCATGAGGATGCAAATGAGCGCATGTCTATGCTTATGCGCACCCTCAATCCCCCTCCTCCTCCCTCCTAAAAGTGTCTTGTTTCCTTAGTTTCTCTTTTCTGTCTAATCCTCTAACTCAAAATTCTTGTGGCTTTATGTTGTTTTTGACTGACTACAATGGTCAATGTTTGTGATATAATGATATTTCTGTTTCTGCCCTGATTCATGTGTGGTTTAATGGTTTCTTTATGCTTACATACAGGTGTTCTGTGTGGCCCAAGGCCCTGAATTCTTTAATGTCTTGTATTTAACTTGGCTATGTTTACTGCTTCACCTTTTCAATGATGTCAAAAAGGGGAAGTTTGTTGTAAAGTTGACTGGAATAGGAATTAGGGGCATTGAACTAAGGGGGAACTGAACCAAGGGGGAATATACTAAGGGGGAACATTGTTGTTATTATGCACTAAAATAAGGGGGAATTTGTTGTGTATTTGAATGAATATTTTTACACTCATGTGAGGGTTCGTGTAGGTTGTTTGTCATCATCAAAAACGGGGAAAATGATAAGTGCTAATGCTCCCAGATATTTTGATGATCTCCTCACAAGTGCAGGGAACTGATCCTCTACAGAGTAAGCTCTTCCAGTGTCATATGTTGTACAACTGTAAAAGTTGTCTACGTCAGAAAGTTGGTGAAGTTGCAGTGTACTTCACCAATCAGAAGTGATGAGGTTGTTTGTACAATGGATAATAACTCTTCATGACTAATATATTCCAAAACACAAACAACAAATTATTCATTCATTCAAAGTGAGATATTTAAAGCTTCAAACAGCAGGGACCTGATCGATTGTTTCAAGTGCTTCCTGTACCAACTGTTACTTTGTTTGCTTGTAATCGTGTTTATATTGTAGGAATCGTTTCGCTTTGTTAGAAACGTTTCAAGCTTGTGTGAATCATTGTAAGAACTTAAGTTGTGAGTAATTTAGTGTCTTACGTCAAAGTCTATATTAATCTGTTAGGATTAGTATAGTGTGCAGTGTTGTATCTGCTTAGGCTCGTCTAAGTGATAAGAGATTGCTTAGTGTGTAGATTAGTAGGTTAATCTCATTTTGTAAACTGGTTTTTACTTTTGCTTGAGAAGACTAGTAAAAGCAGTTTGAAAATTCCTGTGAGACAAGTCGTGGTTTTACTCCCTTGAGCAAGGAGGTTTCCACGTAAAGTTGTGTGTGCAATCTTTACTTTCAGCATTCAGTTTGCTTTCTGTTATTGTAACTGTGCTAAGGACCTGGTCCCATCTAGACTATTGGACGCATACATTCCAACATAAACGTTTACCTATTAAGACTGTCCTTGATGATATGATTAATTGGCTAAAATATCCTTATGATGTTAACTCACCAATGGATAAAGATTGCTCAAAACATTTTATCATTTAATCCAAAAACAAATGAGTACCTCAGGATTTCTCTTACTAAAAAGTCGTCACTCCTTGTTAGTCAAAAATCACACTTGTAATTATATATGTTTGAATCTAAGCTGTGATATAAGTCTGCAGTAAAAAGTTGAACTTAAGACAGACTAGTATTACCGGTTGCTGTCTATCAGTTCTTCAACATTCTCTGCTACCAAAAGAACTTTGTACTTCTTTTCTTTGGATTCAAAACCGGCAAACAAATATCTTTATTTAGGTCGGGAAGAAATCCTAATAGATTTATTAAAGTCAGGTGCTCTATGCTGGTGTTACGATGTCATCACAAAGAGCTGGAGAAAATTAGAATCAAGTGGCTTCCTGAGGAGACCTTTAGATCATAGCATTCAGTGTTAAGAGTCTCATATACTGATAGTAAGATGATGTATGATTGTGAGTTCCAATTTATTAATTTTAAAAATATATTTAATTGTTTAGTGTTGAGATCTTAATTAATGACAAAATCCATCAGTGAAGTTGTGCACGCTTCAAAAGCTGTGATGCCTAAAATAAAACACCGGTAAAGTGTAACACACAACATGGTCTTCACTGAGTTAGGGCTTTAATACTGTGCGCCTACGGGTCAGTGGTATCAGCTAGATAGTTATATTTTGGGGTGAGTTTCTGCCTTGAGTCGAGCGGAGCCATTTCAATCAACCCCAATTTATGCAAATACTGTGCGCAACAGCTCTCGTTGATTCAAATAATATTTGTCTATCCGAAGAAAGAGCCTGGCAAATTTTTCAAGAGAGTGGTTCTAATCCCTTAACGTGACATATTGGTTTAGTTCTTAGTAACGATGGTGACTCACATCGATGGTGATGATGAAGTACTCACATCGATTGGTTCCTCCGTTTTTCAAAGTAGTATGATGGGATGAGTCTTTAGCGGTTAAGCTAAGGAAGTAGACAAAGCATAATGAGTATTGGTTCCATATATATTGATGAGAGTACTCACACCATTGGAAATTATTTTCTCCATCTTGTTGAGTATTTCAAGTGGCATGGCATGTATACCAACAGTGAAACATCCTCCCCATACTATTCCATGAGCGTCTAAATAAAACCAAAAAATGCAGGGCATGTACTGCAACAGTAAGAAAGCTTGACGGTGTAGTGTACAATCCAATTTCCTTTATAATGAAAACGTGTACTCCCAATTATTCAACTGGTGAAACTTTTCACTCTAAAACCAAAGGAAATTAGTCCAAGAGTATATATCTCAACATTTTAAAAAAGGGAGTACATTTGCAATACACTTGGCTGACACTGCAAAACATCAGCAGCTACCGTTATTGACAGCAAATGGAATCTTCGCCACGAGAACAAAGCATTCATTTCTGGTAGCCACCACCAATAGCATTCTCATCCTCTTCAACCTTAGCAGTCAAATAAGGCTTAGGAAAATCGTTGACATCAAACTTGTACTCCATCCTCATCTTCTCAACATCAGCTTTGGTGAGGAAGGTGCGCTTGATTGGAGGACGGTTACGCCTCTGGTCACGAGAATAATAATTGATATCGAAGACGGTTTCAGAATCGGATGTGGGGATGATGGCTTGAGATTGGGTAGTGGCGGGACAGAAGATTCTGTACTCCGTTGCCTTGGGTACAGAGTCTAAATACTCGGGGCTTGTTTGAGGTCCGGTGAACTCCCATGGCTTCTTCGTGAACCGTTTTAGGGTTTGGATCATCGATTTCCCTGACGAAGCCATTGAAGAAATTTGCTCAATCTATCATCTATATACTGAGACAAGTCTTTCCAAGTATTTTTACCTGATTTATTTGCACCTGATCTACACTTTGCATAAAAATAATAGTGTCTGTTGTTAAAGGCTGCTTACTTAATCCCTGACACTCAGTGATACTCAAAATGCCTTCCAGAATATTGCAAAAGGGAACGACACTTTCTACATAACTATAACTGCCTCTGATGAGAAGCTGCAGTACTTTGGTCAAGTATGTACCTAAAGTTTAAACACATGATCAACTCTATTGGTTATCATAAGAGTTATATGTTACTTAGTATTGCTGCCTCATTTACTTTTGGTTTCGGATGGGGAATCAGTAAAACCAATTTTCTTGCTACATTAGTTAAGGTTCTAATGATGCAATTTTAATCAACCAAAGTTTAGTATCTGCATTCGATTATAATGAGTTGGATTTTCACTTCAAAGATTTACAATATATTTGAAATGTTATGATGCAACTTTGTCTAAGTCAAAGCTTTAATACATAGATGAATTTGCGCGAATAGAATCTTATCATAAAATAAAACAGTTCCTAAAAGGTTATAAACAAGATACTTGGGTGAACTAAATTTTATCAAAAATAAAACAGTTCCTGAAATGTTATCAACGAGATATTTGGGTGAAACAGAAGCTAAGGGTGAAAGGACATACAAGCACTCACGATGCCTTCCAGTTTGAACATAGTTACCCAAAGGGGACGCGACTTTCAACATAACTATAAATTCCATTGATGTACCTGACTTTAAGTTCACAACGAATACAATCTCCCCATCACGGGGCATGAAGAATGATGCAAATCTAGGCTCTATAGTGTTCCATATCGAGGGAACGCCAATTATGTGTCTCTCCCATTCTCTTTTAGGAGTCTTCTTTAAAATCCATAATTCAAAGTATCCTGACTTACCCATTTTCTGTAATCTATACACCTAATTGACCCTTCACCTCGAGCAACTCATAACAGTACACTAACTCAATTGCATTCCACAATGCAATAGTTTTGATTTTTTCAGATTTAACATCAAATGCAGCTATAGATATGTCATCGGCTAGAGCAAACTCATAGATGAATCCACTAATGCAAACACTGGGCATACGATACGGAATACAAGCGAAAATGTTGAGTGTCTCTCCATGATTTGTCTATGCCTAAAGTGAAAACCCACTATTTTGTGTAACTTTCTCGAGCATGATATGTTGTCAAGAGAACCCTCTACTTGTTTTCTTCCGGCTCAAAACCTAATGAATATGTATTCCAACATTTACCTTCATTTGGGTGGGGCAAAAATCTTACTTCTTTTGTGTTGGGATTGAAAATTGCAGCAGATCGCATATATGATGATTCGCAACCGAAAAATAACCCATTAACGCAATTCAAACTAGATTATGCAGGGACACAATTGTCAAGATTATTAAATTTGTCAACTTGAAGAACGGAGGCAGATGCTTTTCCATCTTTCTTTCGAATTACAGACTGTGGAAACGCACTTAAAACGCATTAACAACTTAGCAGGAAGCCACGAGAATATTTCAAATATAGTGTTTCTTGAGGAATTAATACTATTTTGCCAGCACAATTCATAATGTTTTGAATGTTGAAGGTTGACGCTAAAAGTTTATTGATGTTCTTTTTGCCTCTCTGTTTCCTTCTAAGACTCTTATTTCCTTTTGTTTTCTTTGTACATTGGAATTTGGAACTAGGACTGCCAAAATATACTCATATTAAATACAGTGAATGTTCTAGTACTATTAAAGATTCAATCAACACTGAGTCTGCTTGATAATATCACTTTTCTTTAAAAACTTGTCAATCTAATAGTAATTCTTAAATAAAATAAAATCAATAAAGATATATAGCAATGAAAAATGAAAAAGTACTTTGGTTCAAATATAATGATAAGAATATATACAAACATAAATTCAAATCCAAGTACGTTACCATTTTGTCATATGTTGTTGTGAATAGAAAGAGAGCTTATAGTTACATTGTATGGAATTGAACAAAATCAAATATATTGCACTTTATATACTATTCAATTTAGAGTTGTGGAAAAGATATTATAATATTAATATAGTAGTAATTGTTCTAATGGCATTGTTGTGATTTATTAGACTTTAATATATTATAAATTTCATTCTCTCCTACATTGTATGTAAGCACTCATGAATTAATTATTGCTCCTTTAGCTTCCATCATAAAAACCACCAGTCACTTTTGTTGAGAAGTGAGGAATTGAGCTTACCAGACCTACATTAATGGAGGTCACATGTACTGTTATGAAGTAAACTTAAGCAGATGAACGAAATTGAGAGGATTGTTTGGGAAGAAGAAAAGTATATTATTTCAAGTAATGTTATATGTATATATACACATATATAAATCAAGTAAAAATATCTAGACTATCTAACTACCTCAACTGATTCTGTACACAATGCTTAATTAAGTTCATCCATCTAACTAACTCAAACAGTATTAACTAACTGACTAAGCTATCTAATATTATAATACCCCACTTGTCACGCCCCGAGACTACCCCCGAGATGCAGACACGGGACCTAGGACAACAAGTGATCCCAAGCTAACCCTGTTGGCATGATCATGAGCATACTAAAGATAATACACTGATGCGGAAGCTAAGTCATAAATAAAATGAAAAGATGGGGAATACTCATATACTATAACTGAGATAAATGAAAACTGATGAGTTTAATACAAAGAAGATATTAACTCAATACTAAGCTGAATCTAACTATGTCTGAAATAAGCCTCTAAACTGACTAGAGATGTTGGGACATGCCCAACTAGGTCTAGCAAAACTGAAACTAAAGACTAAAAATACTGAAAAGAAACTCATGACTATTGTCCTCGGAGAATGAGAACTCACCACTGATTCTGCTTAACTGGAGATCGGGAACCGATCTAAACATGATATGGATGCTGAGAACCTGAACCTACATTACGAGAAGATGTAGCGCACGTATGCGTCAGTACTTGAAAGGTACTGAGCATGCAAGATAGAATACAACTGAAATAACATATAACTG